AGTGCCCTGGGGTGGCTTCTAGATACTGAGGGACAGTCTTTTTTGGGTGGACTGTGGAGCAGAGGAAAGGCACTAAGTCTGCGGAGAGGAGCAGGAGATAGGGTTCATTTGCTGTACGGTCGTCGGGTTCCTTCTGGCCAGCTCTCTCATGCCTTGAGGGTGTGATCCCGAGGGGGGCTGATATACATTAGGCTCAGACAAGACTATTCTGGAGGTCTGAGAGGTCCTGGGCTCCCTAGCCCTTGGAGGGTAGGGGATCATTCCCGAGCAGCGGTTTACAGGGTTCTCTGCCGATGCAAGAGGAGACACGCTTGGTAACATGGCTCTAAACCAAAATACCAGGAAAATCAGATTTGTTCTGAAACATTTTGGGGCAATTATGGTGAGCATATGTTTCAGTATTGTCATTAGCTGAATTAGCAGACATGGAGCTGCCCAGAAAACACGAGTGAGTGTGTGTGTAAGTAATTTGCTATGGCCCAGAGGCGCGCTTTGGGGTATGGGGACAGCAGAGAGGTGGGTGGAATCTGGAGAATGCTGTGTGGTATGGCATGGGGTCCTAGAGAGCATGTGCTGAAAGGGCGATTATAAGCGTCTTTGACTCCATGGGATACACAGCGCCCGTGACTACCGAGGAGTAAGCCCTCTCTGATTTGTCGGTACTTTCCCACAGATACTCCGGGCAGCGATGGAAGCCTAGATGCCTCACCGCAAGGAGTGGCCGAGCGGGTCCTCGCTTCACGCCCAAGGCAGCGCCGGCACCGCGGTGAGAGCCAGCAGGGCGGGCTGGTCAGTGGCCGGTGGCCACTTCTTTGCCCTCTTCTTGAGCGCCTGCTCCCGGGCTGACCTGCCTGCCCATCCTGGCAGCTGCGGCATTCGAGAGATGGCTGTTGACTGGCTGTACGATTATGTATTTTTTGAAACAAAAATGCTCTTAATTTGATGTGAAATTTACTACATGTATAAAACTCAGCGCCTTAGGTGCTGAGGAAGTCACTAATTTAGAGGTGTCTCGTTACTGAGACAAACTTGCAAAAACCCCTGAATCCCAATTCACAAATTGGTGATTCGTTTGTCAGGGGATATTTCACATCTAACACATAAGCCCGCGACCTTTAATTAGAATTTTGCAGTTTGTTTTATGCCCCTGGAGGCTGACACCTTGAAAATTTTTTTTCTTGATTTCTTATTGCTAATAAGCATCTTTCTTTTTCCCTCTGGTACTTTGAAGAAAATGATGCAAATACACTTAATTACAGTGGTGGCCATAATTTGTCAGCTGAATATGTGATCAGGCACCGGCTCAAGTGATCTGATTAGATCTGTGATCACAGTGGCAATAAAGGGAGTGCACAGCTCTGTGGTGGAGAAACTCTTGATTCTGCCTTATTTCCATCTGCAGGAGGGAGGAAGCATGTCACGGTTGTCTCTCACCCGGTCACCCGTGTCTCCCCTGGCTGCCCAGGGGATCCCACTACCAGCCCAGCTTACCAAGTCCAACGCGCCTGTGCACATCGACGTGGGTGGCCACATGTACACCAGCAGCCTGGCCACGCTCACCAAGTACCCCGACTCCAGGTAAGAGCTGAGCCTCTTGTCACACCAGGCTTGCAGCGGTGACCGGCAGCATCTGCAGGCTGCCACCGATGGAGCCTTTCTCCTCTGCCAGCCAACAGGCAGGGCTCTCCAGGGCCCGCTCACGCACAGAGATTCAGAGAACTAGGGTTTGGGAGTCCAAGTCTGTATTTGGAAGGCTGCTTTACACAGAGACTTGTGACCATGAGCTGGCAGCATGGGGAGTGCTAGATGTGGGTAGAGCTTCTGACCCACTGGCAGAAGCCACTTATGCAGGCCAGGAGCTGACTGGGTAATCTCACGTACCTTCAAGTTCCTCTTGAGTAGGACCCTGGCCTGGCCTTTGCAGAGGATCATTTGTGAGCCATGCTGTGTACTTCTGAGGGTTGTGTGGGAGAGAAGTATTTAATCCTACTTATGATTCTCCCCCTTGGGAAAGCGCATAAAGGGAGGGAGGAGGGGAAGCTGCAGTTTGCCATCTTTGCCTGTTGGGGTGGCCACTGCCAGACCCTGAGGGCTAGCAGCAGGCTCCCTTGAAGTGAGGGAGGGTTGCAGTGACTGCTGGAATTCCCGGATGTGCGGGGCTATCCAGGCCTGTGGAGAAGCATGAGCCTCATATCCCCATCTGCACATAAAATGTAACTGACCAGGACCCACCCAACCTGGCGCTGGCTTCTGTGCTGAGCTCCCTGTGGGCCCGTCTGCAGGAGGCCTTGCGCCCTGCCAACTCTTCTGCTCTTGCCTCTTGGCGTTTCCCGCCAGAGGCGACCTGGTTTCCTGCTGGCACAGCAGTAAGGTTGACCAGAGCTGGGCTGGATCTCTGTGAGCCTCTCCAGGAGGGGATGTGGTGTGCTGCTTGCCGAGCGAGCAATGGCTTGCTCCTGGCACAGCGAGGTGGCCACTGCTGATGGCTGAGCAGCGGGAGGGCCAAAGCTGCCGGCATCACCCCCGTTTTATACATTTAAAATAGCAAGAGGAGTTAATTAATCCCCCAGACACCGAGGGATCATCTCGGGGATGCTTTCTTGTCAGACTGCCTCGTTGCCAGTGCGTTGCTCAGAGTGCAGAGGATTCCTCGTGCAGGGAGGCGGCTGCTTCGCAGAGCCGGTGGGCGGCTTGGCTGGAGCCCGTCATGGAGGCTGGGGTGCTCCCTCAAGGAGGGAACGTTGAGGTGGACGCAGTGTCCAGTTCAGAGTCTGGGGGACAGATGGCGGTTTAGGCTTCATTTCCTTGGCCCAACAGAGGCTTGGCCTGGGGCACTTGTGAACTTGGGCCTTTTGTGGTGGCGGTGGGTCGGGGTGGGGGTGAGGGAGGCAGCATCCATGAGGCCACGTCAGCAGTGTCAGCCTGTGCGCTAGTTTGCAGAGCCCTGTTTTGGATAGGAGATGGATTCAGCTTATTTAATTTCAATTTTTTCCTCTATGGCATTCCCGAATTGTTTGAGATAGATCACCCCTTAATCGGTTGACAACATTTGTGAGTGAAATTCATAAAACCCTTTCCCACAGCCTCTGTGAAGAGAGTTTCCTGAAATCAGACACTTGCTTTTCTGGAGCAATCGCAGCCCTAGCCGGCAGGGGTGGCCTCCTTGTCTTGTCTCCAGGCTGCTGCCTGGGAGCAGTGAGGGCAGGGGGTGGTCCTCCCCCCAGACCCACAGTGCAGCTCAACCACACCCATCCCGCTGGAGAGCTGAGGCCCCGTGGCCCTGCAGCCAGCAGGATGTGCCCAGAGCAGGTAGCAGTCTGCATTCTTCCTGAGGCTGGGGCTCCAGATGAATCTGCTCTTCCGCCTGGATGGCTTCTGGCTTGCGGGAGACCTGCTCCACTGGCCTGAAGCTTTGGCCTAAGAGGCCAGGGACTGGTGTGATCTGTAGGACAGACAGGGAACAGGGGGTTGGACCAGGCCTGAAAAGTAGGTTGGACAGCTGTACTGGCAAGGGCCCCTCAGATCTCTCATCTTTCTTCGAGTGAATCATTAAAGTTAAAAAAACTGTTTGTCACCAATTTTGGAAACCAAGAGTTGTCCCTTACCCCATGTCATTTTGTGAGTCACCTGGAGACGGAGAATTAAAGTGCTGAAGTCCCCTAGGGTGTTTCTGGACGTAGATCAGCAAAGTCCCACCCTGGGCAGTGCTGTGACACCAGAGCCTCGTGCTCCAGGCCCTCGGGTTTCCGTGCCCACAGAACTGTGCCTGGGCTTCATGTTCTGGGCTGGTATGGGGACTCCTACACAAGGAACAGGTGCCACTGCTGGTCAGCCCAAGGACAGCTCGCAGTCACTGCCCAGAGATGGCCGCCTGAGGCGCGAGGGGACCCCCTGGGGCTGACACCTCACGCGTTCCCGCCCACCGGATGTAGTTGAGCTGCTGCCGTTGCAGCCTCCCTCCCGCGTCCATCCTGGCCGTGGGAAGCAACAGACTGAGATGGCCAAGAGCTTTAAAACTAATAAAACTTTCCACTGAAACATTGAGGAAATTGGAGTCAAAGGTTAAAAAGAAAAAAAGAGCCCTGTCAGCTGGGGTCGGAACTGACCAGACTATCCTATGGTGAACTTCTGAATTTGGTACCCCAAACCCCAAAACCTCCCTGGGGCAGAAGCTGACTCCGTATGTGTCTCTGGGGCTCCTCTGCGGTGACTGACCTAATCTTTCCTCACCCTGCTCACATCCTTGGTAGCCTCAGACTCCCAAGGGCATGAAAGGCCTTGGTCCTGTGAAGATATAAACTGAACCGTGGAAGATCTAGAACCAGAATCTGAAATAAGGCAGATTGAGAACCTTCTAGCCTTGGACGAATAAGGCAACCTAGAACCCAGCCAGCTCTGGAATGTGGGTGGATCAGGAGTACTGTAGACGGACAGGATGGTCTGGAGCCTCAGCCAGCCCTGACATCAAAGGGATTTGCAAGGCAGCCAAACCTACAGCATTGCTTGCTGCACACAGTGTTTGAGCTTAACCAGGAAGGGTGGAGGAAGTTCCACAGGGAGGCTGAGGCTTCAGACTTGCTGGCTCACCTGTGGATGTAGATTTTTACTTCCTTCTGCAGATGCCATGTTGGGGTCCTGGGCTCTCTGCTGGTGACTGCCCATGGCACCTGGCAGCCTTGCTCAGTCTCATCTGTCTCCAGGGATGCTGGGCGGCCCTCAATTTGATGTTTGAATGGCCAGTTCTTGGGTTTTGACAGCTGTACTAGGCCATGGAGCCCACAAGACTTTCCAGGAGAGCTGTGTCCTCCAGTACCATTGTCACCAGGCCTGGGGTAGAGATGGGGGGCTTGGTAAGGCTCGATGGTCTGTGAAGCCCTGAGATGAATATATCTGGTGACTGCAGCACTGGTCCCACAGGCTCGAGCCTCTCCACACCTCTCACCATAGGCTTTGGCCTGCTTACGCCCATCCATGAGGCATCCTTGCCCTTTTATACAGCCCCAGTGGGATGGGATGGGCCATGTCCCCAGAGTGAGAACAAGTGACTTCATGGCTACTCTACATGTGGGCAGACCCTCATGGCCGATGCCTGAGTGTGCCAGGCCACCAGAGTGGAGAACGGTGTGAATGACAGGCCCTGAGAGAGGCTTTGAGCTCTAACCCCTCAGCAGCACAGCTCACGTGCACAATGGCAGGGGTGGGGCAGGGCCTCAGGGGCAGTGACCTGGAGTAGACAGAGGACTGGGCTGCTGGGGGACAGGGCAAATCCCTGGAAGGTGCATGAAGGTGCAGGCAGAGAGTGAGGGGGCTCGTGCAGGCTGGGCTGGAAGTCTTGGGTCTCAGGTTGGAGCTGTGCCGACAAGCTGCCGCCTTGGTGGGGTCTAGCTGTGGACAAGTGTGTGGCCCTGCCTCCCGAAGGATGTCTAGAGATGCTGTCACTGGGAAGACCTTGCCAACCTCCCTCCTGTTTCTGACTGTCCTCACCCCTCTTTGTGGCTCCCAAATGTCCACAGCTGGGCCTGGAGTCTGCAGGGGAAGTGAGCCAAACCAGAGCCTGCTGCCCTGGACACCGGGCAGACTGAAGCCCTGACTCTGAGGCCCGACTCCCTGTCCCTGGTGTGGGGACTGGCCTCGGGAGCTCCCCAAGGGCTTCCTGCAGGGCCTATATTTCCGTCAGAACCACTGTCCTTCAAAGGACAGGGTGCTGGGACATATCTCCCCTCCCAGACCTCTCCCAGATATGCACATCCTTGTGCATTGTGGTGCATGCACCTGCACTGCTTCTGTGTTCACACTGGTGTGTGTGTACATGTGTGTACTGTGGCGTGTGTGCACCATGGCACGCATGCACGCATGCACGTATGCAGAAACTTCTGCCTGTCTCACACATCCTTGTGCATTGTGGTGCATGCACCCGCACTGCTTCTGTGTTCACACTGGTGTGTGTGCACTTGTGTGTACTGTGGTGTGTGTGCACCATGGCACGCATGCACGTATGCAGAAACTTCTGCCTGTCTCAGATCTCCCCTAAGGCTCCCCGAGCAAATGTTTGTGGCTTATCTGTGAGTCTGTCACATGTACATAGCTGTGTCTTTGGTTGCTTTGTGTTGGCTGTTGTGTCCTTTCCCTGGATGTGTCTGGGTCTGCCTGTGATGTGTGTGTTGCAAGGGAGTGGACCATGTGACTCTGCCTGTTGCCCAGGTGTGTCATGTCAGATGCTCATGCATGTGGGTTGGGTAAGGTGGATGTGTGGGACCCAACACTGTCTTCACTGGTTTACATGTGTTCACTGGGTATGTGGCTGAGGCCGGGTGTCTGATGGTCAGTGGGAGTTTTCTGTGTGAGTCTATCTGGCAAGGCTTGGGGGAGAGGGCAAGGAGTCTGTTTCCATGTCTTGCTGTAGTTTTCCAGGACTGTAATGTGTCGGCGGGTGGGTGTGTCTCTCTCTGACTGTGGCTCATGAGTGTAGATAGTGTGTGTGGCATCTGCTGCTTGCCATGCTGGTGTCCTGCCTGGTTTCCTCTGGTGTGTGCAGACATCTGCCAGGCCTGGCACAGTCCTGGAGTCAGGGTGTAAGGCCCCTTACCCCTCGGGTAGGGAGGGCCCTAAGCAGTGGGGCAAGGCAGGTGGACTTGGCCCTTTCTTCAGACATCCCGCCCTCCATCTCTCCCAGAATAAGTCGTCTCTTCAATGGCACTGAGCCCATCGTCCTGGACAGTTTGAAGCAACATTATTTCATCGACCGGGATGGGGAGATTTTCCGCTATGTCCTGAGCTTCCTGCGGACGTCAAAACTGCTGCTCCCAGATGACTTCAAGGTAAGTCCCCAGCCGGTGGCTCCCTTGCACTGCCTGTGCAGTGGCGTTACACAGGGGACGCTGTGACTTAATAAATGGACCCACGGTCGTCATGGTAACCATAAAAAGTTAAGCAGTGAAGCCAAGGGCTAAATCAGTTTTTCTAAACTAATTTTGTTTTCTCACATTTTTAGCTTATTTATCAGGGTGTAACAACAATTAAGCAGCAGCAGCGGCACTTACCCTGGTTTCATGTTGGTCATGTTGAGGGACTGTCGTGTGCTGGAGCTACAGGAGTTAGAGGCTCTTAGCCCTGTTCCTTGCTGGCGGTTTGCAAGGGAAAGTCCAGATCCACACCAAACACCCTGTAAATAAGAGGCGACCCCCAGGTCTTGGGGCAGACCTGTCCAGGTTCCGAGAGTCTTGCCCTCTGTGGTACCAGGGACCCTGGAGGAAGGGAGCTCAGGCCTGGACTACCGGGCTCACACCAAGAAATGTCCGTCTGTCCGTCCTTCCTTCCTTCCTCCCTCCCTCCCTCCCTTCCTCCCTCCCTCCCTTCCTCCCTCTCTCTTTTTCTTTGTTTGTTTGTTTGTTTGTCTCTCTCTCTCTCTCTTCCTTTTTTTCCTGAAGACATTCAACAACTTTAATTTCTAAGTTATAAATTCTTTCTTTCTCTTTTCTTCTCCCTCCCTCCCTTCCTTTTTTCTTTCCTTCCTTCCTTCCTTCCTTCCTTCCTTCCTTCCTCCCTCCCTCCCTCCTTCCCTCCCTCCATTCCTTTCTTCTTTTCCTTCCTTCCTTCCAGCAGCCAAAGGACCAGTGGCCCTGGGGCTCTTTTGTCCCCCATCCAGCCGAGTAACTGGATGCCCACAACTCAGCTCAGGCTGAAAACACAGTGAAACAAGGCAGATGTGGGTCCTGTCTCCATAGCACTTATGGTCTGGTGGGAAGACAGATGTAGAACAAAAGCCACTTGAATTCCATGGAGGCAGATGCTTCAGAGAAGTAGAGAACATTGTGGGAGCGACTGTGGGGAGCGTGGCGGCTGGGGAAGGAGAGGGTGTTTCCCTGGGTGGTGAAGGAAGGAGGGGGTGCAGACAGGTGGTGAGGAGGCTGGGTGGCAAGGATCGGTACCTTCCAGAACTTAAGAGAAGGCGTCAGCTTGAAGCTGTATGAATTGGGAGGGGCAAGGCAGGAAGGGAGGCTGCTGGTTGACGTCAGGACCTTGGCGGCTCGCTCAACAGTTGGCATTTCACCCTGAATGCAGTGGATAGGTCGTGAGTCGGGGAATGACAGTCAGATCTGTAAATTGATCATCCCAGCTATTGTATGGAGAAGGATGTGGGAATGGTGGGGGATGGGGGTGGGCGCAAGAGGCCAAGGGAGGTTTTTTGAAGGCTTTGGACCAGGGTGGTGGCAGTGAAGATGGGTCAAGGTGGCAGGTTACCCTTATATTCAGGCAAAGGACACAAAGGACCACGGATGTGGATTGGTGGCAGTCGGGGGCTCTTCATGGTGTCTCCTGGCCTTCGGCTTCTGTCTGAGTGGATGTGTTCAGCCCCAGGGATGGAACAGGCTGGGGGGATTGTGGCACTCGACTCCCGTGTGGAATTGCTGGTGAGGTGTTGGGTGCAGATATTGAAAGATGTGGGGGTTGTTTGGTGTGCGGATATCACTTAGGGAGCCAATGAGAGCAGAGGCCCCAAGTCAAGCCCCGAGGAACCCCTGTGGAGGGGCAGGATGAGTCCCTGACAGGCAAGAGGCCTCCCTTGGGCAGTTCCACAGGCTGAGGCCAGCAGGCAGGAGGCGGACCCTGCTCTGGGGTTGGGCTTCCTTGCCTCGCCCCCAGGGGTCCTTAGGCTTACCAACCAACCAGCCAGCTGATCTTGAGCTGAGCCCCAGTGAGTAGCATGAGGCACGGGTCCTTGGCTATGCAGGGCTGGGGCGGGTATGGTGAGCATGTGTTTTAGAGACAGTTGGTGTGAGCCCATCTAGCCTGGGAGAAGGCTGCCTGCCTGGCGAGAGATGAGCTCCCCACCCCAGACCCCTCCCTGTACAGCCTGCTGGGGCAGGGACCAGCCAGACACTTGGCAGATCTTGTTGTCCTTTAAAATTCTCATCCCTTCTCTGAGTTGGGTGTCTACATCCATTTTACAGAAGAGGAAACTGAGGCTCAGAGGTCAGTTACTGATGATCAGAGGCCTCAGAGCTGGTAGATGAAGATGCGGAAAATCCAGCCTAGGCAGGTGTGTGTGTTTTGCCTCCGTGCTGGGCTGTGTGTTTCTCTGGGGCAGATGAGACTCCTGTCTGGGATTCTGAGAAGGCAGCAGATCCGCAGGCATAGACACAGCCTCAGGCTCCTCTGGTCTAGCCTTCTGGTCTTTCCAGAGGCTTCTCTCTGCTCCAGAGGGATGATGCCTCTGACGCCTCCCTGAGTTCTTGGGGCCAGGTGGAAGGGCACAGGGCGTCTGGCGCCCTTGTGCTTCCACACACAATCGCTCGAGCCTCGTTTTCCGCATCTGTACAGTGGGTACAACTGTTCCAGTCCACACTGTGCGAGGTGGCGGGTGTCACAGTCCTGTGGACTAGTGAGAGGAGGCCCTCTTGGAGTTGGAAAGGGCAGCCCCCCACCGCTCCCCACCCTGTCTGCACATGTCCGCAGGACTTCAGCCTGCTGTACGAGGAGGCAAGGTACTACCAGCTGCAGCCCATGGTGCGCGAGCTGGAGCGCTGGCAGCAGGAGCAGGAGCAGCGGCGCCGCAGCCGGGCCTGCGACTGCCTGGTGGTGCGGGTCACGCCAGACCTGGGTGAGCGGATTGCGCTCAGCGGTGAGAAGGCCCTCATCGAGGAGATCTTCCCCGAGACCGGGGATGTCATGTGCAACTCCGTCAATGCCGGCTGGAACCAGGACCCCACGCATGTCATTCGCTTCCCGCTCAATGGCTACTGCCGGCTCAACTCGGTGCAGGTGAGGGCTGCGCCGGCCCCACCCACCTCACCCCTGCCTCCCCAAAGCCCTCCGGCACAGGAGAGATGGAGGGAGGCGCAGTCCCTGAAATGGCAAAGCCCTCTGTGCCATCTCACAGAAAAAGCAACAATGTGTCGATGCATAATTTATATCCTGCTCATAATTAAATGATGGCGCCTGGGGGATGGACTTAAAAAAATTGATCTGTGCTCTTTTTTTTTTTTTTTTTTCCCCAAAAGGATGTTCTATAAAAATTGTCCAGAGTACTTTCAACAAAGCGTGCTTCATTTGACACCCAGAGTCAGAGTTTGGATTCAAATTAAACCCAGGCAACAGGAGCCGTAGGTCAGAGGCTGAGAGTGGAGGTGGTCTGCAACCCCTTCCTCACCCTGCTGACCTGGGCCACTGTCCCAAACAGTTGCCCAGAGTGTTTCTGGAGAGGCTTTCCATAGATGGCGTGAGAGCTGGAAGCCCAGGATGGAATGGGGCCTATTTTCCACCAGCTCTTCCAGACCCAAGAGCAGACTCCTATTTCAAGCTTGGGGCAGAAAGAGTGACTTTGTGGGGGAAATCCTCCCCAACCCCCACCCATGCATACATTCCACAGGCTGTCAGTGAGAACTGGCTAGTTGCAGGACATAGGTGTCAGACGGTGACCAGACCCCAACGGCAGACTCGGACAGAGAGGACTCTTCCTCTTGACCCCAGCTCCCTTGAGCTGATGAGCCCCCAGGCTTCAAACCATCTGGGACTCGCAGCTTAGGGAAGCAGGTGGCTGCCCAGAGGCTGGGGGCAGGGTCTCTTTATTATTGAGGAGGGGCCCTGGGACCACACTTCGGGAGAGAGTGGGGTAGGTTACATCCTGGAGAAGAGATGAGGGACCCAAAGTCTCTGTGTCCCTGAATCAAGGCTATGGACCCCTGAGGCATCAGTGTGGGGTAGCCCACTGAGGCTTAGTCACTCAAGGGCCCTCGGGCCAGGCTGCTTCTGTCCCTCCTGTGTTTGCCCAACTGGGATCTCTGTAATCTTAACAAGAGGAAGGTAGCTTGCGCTCGCTACCTCCCACCAGGCCACGCCAGGCAGACTTGTAGCTGGGCACTCCTGACCCCTCTTTCTTCCCCGGCAGGTCCTGGAGAGGCTGTTCCAGAGGGGTTTCAGCATGGCCGCATCCTGCGGGGGTGGTGTGGACTCCTCCCAGTTCAGCGAGTATGTGCTTTGCCGGGAGGAGAGGCGGCCGCAGCCCACCCCCACCGCTGTCCGGATAAAGCAGGAACCCCTGGACTAGGCCCTGCCTCAGTGCGCACCTGAGGCCTCTTGGCCCTGGGGACAGCCCAGGGACCTGGAAACAGTGCTGGGGAGTTCTGCCTATACCTGCTTAGCGGTAGGACTAAGGGTGGGGCTAGAGGATCCAAAGCTACCCCAGGGAGCCCCAGGTGTCATGGCAACAGAATGTGGGGTGCTAGAGGCATGCCTGCTGAAGGACTGTTGATGTGACCCAAAGGTGCCTCAGTGGGAACTCTGCCGCCAGTTCCCCAGCCCCCTTGGCTCCCCAGCCCGACACACATCCTTTGAGGCTCCAGGACCTGCCGCAGTGGGGTCAGCACAGGCCTCCCCAGCCCACGGCAGAGAAGCGCTTCATCCTTCTCCACGTGTGGCAGACTCCAGTGGGTCTCCTTGCGTCAGAAATGGCTTATTTTTCTACAGTATTTAAGACAGAAATAACTGTAACTGCACAAGCCAGAGAGGAGGACAAGGACCAACACTTCTTTATCTGGTGCTCCGTTCTCAGATGCGTGGCATGCAGGAATGTTGGAAGAGCTGCCGGGCACTCCAGCCCAGGTGCCCACAGAATGGGGCTTGGATACTTGTGGTCCCTGCTCTAGGGACTGAGGTAGGGAGGGTAGTGCTGTAGGAGCCGAAGCAGGGCCCCCTGGGGGCAGGGCTGCTGGGAGGAGGGTATGAGGGACAGATGACTGTGGAACCATCTGAAACCCTGACTTTTGCTGCCACCTGGGGCACAGGCCACACACTAGGTGGGTCACCTGACCTCCTAATGCCCAGGGGCTTCCAGTCCTGTTTGTATGTCCTCACACCTGGGATCCCAGAGGAATCTTTCCCCATCCAGACCAGCCACAGGGCCACATGGCATCCTTACCTCAGGAATGGGCCCCATGGTGAAGGGCCCATCTGTCAGCAGCATCCTCTGGGTCCCCGCCTCAGGAAGCCGTCCTCAGCTCTGATTTTCCCATACTAATATGCACACTGAATTTTAATTAAACTTGTTATACTGGCCTGCCAGTTGGAAGTGATTCTAATAAGGATTGGCCCCAAGGGGTCCTCATAGACCGGCTGCCTCCCTGAAGATAGGCCCAAAGACGGACACCCCGGCCATGTCATGCTTGCCCAAGCTGGCTCTTCCCCAGGTGGATAACCTGCAGACAAATGCTTTGTGGGTAGGGTGCCTGACTGGTACTGCCCTGCATACAATGCCTGTAGACTTGTATATGACTCCTTTAATATTGTAAAGATGCTGATGTACAATTGTCGTGTTTGTGTAAACACATTACGTTCCTGGTTTATGCCATAAACGATGCTATAAAGCAAAAGACTGAGGCTCTGTCCCATGCAGAAGCAGCAGTGGGTTCCTGCATTGGATGTTGTGCAGGAGGCTTGGGGGTGGGAGTCCTCCCTCTGTTCCTTCAGTTCAGATAGAGGAAGAACCCCCAGCGCTAGCTGGGGGAGGGACAGGGTCCCGAGCTGGCCATTATTTATTGTATTTGGGTGTTTCCTTGCCGTTGTCCCTTTCCCCTCGGGGCAGCACAGATTCTGAATTCTTATCACAGCCCCTAACCAGATGTGAACCAGGGGAAGGCAGACAAGGTGTTGGTGGGCTTTTGAACCTAGTTTTAAGTGTTTGAGGTTTTCCCTCTCTCTGGCTTTTGGTTGAGGTTGATGTCCTCTTTAGAGCCCCACAGAGCTGTAGGAGAAGGTTACAGTCCACAGCTCAGGTCAGCCAGGGGACATGCAGCCCCCGGCATGAAAAGGGCAGATCACCCAAGCACAGCACAAGACCTCAGTGCAATCTCTTGAGGGTATTCATGTAGGCCTCCAATTTTAATGAGACTTTTTGTATTTTTCCTCAAAGCCCTTATGTTCTAACCCATAAGGACCCTTTTACATGCCCAGTAAGGGCCACCAGCCTCAACCTGCCTGGAGGATGAGAGCACAGCCGCTTCCTGTCTGAGGTTGCAAAGCAGACGCCATCCCACTGTACAATCTAATTTGCTGGACGGATTTGCTAGCCTTCTCCTTTGCTTAGCAACGCGCCTCCAGTTGGCACATCTGCATTTTGGCATCTGAGGTTCACATCTGAGAGGAGGAGAAAGTGTTGTATTTATTAGAAAGGAAATCTTGTGAAAACAGCTCAGTGCCACGTGTGTTCATGGATTTTTCTGGTACGAGAGCCAGCAGGATTACTGATTGGTGGAGATTCCCTAACATTTTTAAGCAAACTAGTTTGAGTAAACCATTGTGCTTGAAAAAAAAAAAAAGTACCTTTCTGAATGTTACTCTTAATTTATTTCTTTTTTACTAAGTCGTAAAATCAGGAAGTACAATTTTACATAAACTGGGGAATTTCTGAATTTGTAAAGAAATGCCACGCTCTCATAGAAATGGTAAAATTCTAATATACATAGTCCCCATAAACAATAAGTACAAATTATCAATTCCTTTAAAACATTTACATACTTCCTGGAATGAATATATTACAAATAATCTTTTGATGGAATACCAGCAGTATAAATGTTACTTCTGCTCTTTGTAAACCTCAAAACTAATTATTTTTTATTATAAGCAACTGGAAGGAGAGCTGTTGCAACACCTGCCTTTTTCCTACCAAACTTCTGCCAGAGCAGGAGAATTTGGCAAAGCCACAGCAGGCGGCTTCTGCCACTGTCCTACTCACATGGGGCTCCAAAGCCAGGTCACAACACTAAGAATATCTTTTAAAAAGTGTTTGTTTTTTTTTTTTTTAAAGCTACCACTTGACTGTGTTCCTTAGGTAAATAAAGGATATTTTATAAATTACACACACAGATTTAGTGCTTTGTTTCTAATCCACTGAGGCAGCCACAAGAAGGTACTCTGGCTTGGATGATGGTTGAGCCACCATTCGTCATACTTGGGACTTGACCACTGAATAGGACATTGAGTAGCCCAAGTCCCCAGTACTTAACTTTCCCATTCTGAGGAGCTGCTATGGACAGCTGGGCCCTAAACACCTGCATGGCCCCCAGGTGCCTCGCATGCACCCTGCTGGCAGACCTGGGATCAAGGGTGGTGCAGGCATGGCTTCCGGACTTCCTCGCCTCTTCTGAACTCAACCCCAGATTCATGTGTTTAGGGTGCACTGGGCCTTTTCCACTGTATTGATTTTACATGTGTGTGTGTATGAACCAAGCCACTAGTACATTCGAAATGGGCAAAGCACAAATGTGAGAAGTGGGGATGCAATTTCCACTGAGCCTTTGATCAAGAGAAGACTGTATTGGCTGAGCCCAGCAGAGTCTAATGAGCACAGGGTTGGGGGACTACCCTCCTCCCTAACCAGGAGGCAGACCTGCTGAGATGGTCTCATCCCAATGGGCCCTGTCCTCCCTTCTGACTCTGTAGACAGGAAAACAGCTGCAGTGGCTCTGGAGGACACTCTAGAACACAGAAAGTTAGCATTTCTCCTAAGTGGGTGACAAGGTGGAACATGCAAAAACGGGGGCTGCCAGTTCGAGGTGGACTGCTTGGTTCAACCCAGTGGGGACCTCTAGACAGAGCTGGAGGGACAACAGTTGTCCAGATAGGGCACCTGCTAGCCTTGAGCTTGACACCTGGGCTGATCTGGAGTGTTGGAATTGTGATGTCACAGTTTGATGGTGATTGGGGCACGTAAGGTAGCCCTTTCTGGACCAAGAGGAAATAAAATATAATTGTGGCTAAGGACAGCGTTCCTGCCAGGAGCAAGACTAGTAGTACTTTTCTCTCCGAAGCATCAGAATTTTCTTAAGTGACCTAGATGGAACACAACCCCAGTGAGTGTTGAGGGCAGAAAGGAGGGCTGACCAGGGACTTCCTGTGGACCTCATAGCCCTCGCCTCAGTCCCTGCCCTCACATTCTCGGTAAGTCCAGGGGCATTTCTCTGAGCTTTTAGTGGGAGGGGGAGCCCAGCCTCTGGACAGCTCCCACCCCTCACCCCTGAAGATCTCTGGGGCTCTCTTCCCCCAAGCCCCAGAGCTGGACATACAAGACACCTGCCTGACCCACGGTGAGCTCTCTAAACCTGAGAGCTGCAGGTAGAGTGATGGGCTCCCTCCTGGGGATGTGCATCCATGCATTGCTGTCATTGGTTGCTATTTAGCCACAGGGAAAGGCTGTTTCTAGTTCCACCCTCTTACTGTCAGTGGAAGACGTCTTGGACAGAATGTGTGCGATTTTAGGGTCATATAACTTTGACTTGATGTGGCTGTGGAGGCTTTGGACATCCATTATGAAAAGGGTCTCTGCTTACTGCAGAGATCCTTATTTTCCCAACCACCCGATGAGTGCTGTGGATTGATAGCAGCGTGTGCCAGCCTCTGCAGGTGCATGGAGAACAAGACAACCCATGTGGCTAAGACATGTTTATCCACAAGAATCATCTACTTGAAGCTCTGTAAAGTTATGTAAGGTAATTTTCCATATCATAGTTTTCAAGTTTGTCATGACATCAAACATGAATTACCCCCACTTCCTCGACTGGCACATAGGTAGGGCCAACAGCCTCCCAGGCCTCACTGTTGGCATCTCCACAACGAACCAGGTTTCTCTGAAATTCTACTGAGAAACCCAAGGAAAGAGGCCGGCATAGGCCCGAGGGAAACACAGATGTGAGGGCTGGAGGTCAGCTGCATTTGGATTTTTGTCTTTATTTCCATTACACAGAACAGCCAGTCCTGACAGACATCACCCAGCCTGGTGTCCGTGCTGGACAATGCTCTTCCTTGACCCAGAGCCATGGCTCCGGAATGATAACAGGTGGAGGACCTCTTCACACAGACATCGCAAACCCGTAGGAAGTCTTAAAGAGCAGGGGCGGGGCCAGGGCGGGGCCAGGGCGGGGCCAGGAAGACCCAGCCAAGCGCCTAGAGGATGCCTGCCCCGCTCCCAGGATCACACAAGACCCCTACGCCTCTGGTGCATCGCCTGCCACTGGCTAGAGCTGCTCCCGGGCCAAGGCTGCTGCTTGAAGCCCGTGTGTAGAATGTCACCAGAGCTTCCTCCTCTGTGTCCTGAACCCGGTCCAAGGCTCCCGAGGAAGCTGCGGTTTGGGGCGCACAGTCTGCATCGGCAGGGTGGGGCGGCAGCTCCCACTCCGGATGCGGGCCACGCCCTCTTGGACGCGAACACCCCCCCCTTATTTCCCCCGGGCTCAAAGACACACGCCTCGCCCTGCAGCCAAACAGCAGGCAGGCAGATTTGTACGAGTACGTACAAGGTCCTGGAATTCTCGCCCGGTTGCCACACAGTATTCGGAGCATAATTGGGGGAGGTTGTGCAACTGCCCTGCCCGAGAAGCTGGGCGTGCTGCGAGAGCTCTTCCAAGTTCTCATCACAGTCGTCCAGATAGCCTTGGGATAGATCCAGACGCCTTTGGGTGGCACTGATGGCCTCACTCCGACAGAGGGGCAGTCCCCCTGGGGAGCCGGCAGTCCCCCTGGGCAGCAGCAGCAGCAGTTGAAACAGCAACAGTGGCAACAGCCCTTCCTGGAAGTGCCCGGTGAGCACAGGGCCGCCCCCGAGGCCCCCAGACTGGACACACCCAACTCCCGAGGGAGGCATGTGGGAGTCCTTGGGGGAGGTTCCACCCAACTAAGGCAGGAGACCGACAGCTTCTTCCCCACCTCATGGGGCTTGTGCTTGGGCAGCTGGGCTGCATCTCGGTTCCACAAGAGCCCCCATGGGCGGGTCCATCCCAGGGGCCCAGTGAGTCACTTCCCCAGGCCCTGAGGCCTTAGTGGAAGGTGCCTCCCTCTCCGGCAAAGCCTCCTTTGTTCTCTTGCTGGCTTCACTTCACAACCCTTTTCTCCCCTTAGAGTTGCAAACTCAGGTCCTTTGCGGGGCACCAGCTGTGAGCAGGACAGAGGTGGGCAAATAGATACCACCTGGAAAATGGTCAGCTGCAGCTCGCTTTCTTGCTTCCTCTGTCCCCTGCCCTCCCAGGGCTCAGGCTCTTCCCCCTCCCCACACTCTGGGGAAAGC